GTATTTTTTTTCATCGAAAGGGAGACAAATGAACAAGCTTTAAGGTGACACCAATAACTCCACATGCCTAAATACTGACGAGCGCCTGATTCCACCGCGTCAAGACACAAATCGTGGAACTATGAACGTAGACTTAGATAAGCTGACACCAGCGTAGCAGCTTGGTTTACCAATGAGGAGGAAGCCGACGTGGACGTATGGGCTTTACAACGGGCTCCGCGGAGACAAAGAAGTCCCATGGGAAAAGATTACGCTGTGACTCAACATGATATAGGGTCTAATTGAACTGGGATACCAACCTTGGCCGCTGGTCATTCTAGCTGTGCTAGGTCGATAACCGGTCCACCTTCCGCTTTGGAACGTTGTTTGTTTGATTGGATTTGCGATGTACTGTGGGGAGGTGTAGTTGGTTTCAGTTTAGTACTGAAAGAGATTTACGGCGTTCGCAATTGCATACGGTCGTATGAGCGAACGGGACTCAAGTTGGTTGTTTTCACGTAAGCTCACAACACAGCTTGGATTTTTTTGGTAAGTGTTTTACGGCTCTGGCAACTGCATAAGGTTTCATGAGAGCGCAGCCGGGACACACTAAACATTTTCAGTTTGGTAGGAATTAATTAAAAATTTTCCCCGGGAGGCGGCCGAAGCCTAATCTTATCGATTTTAGGACCGCCAATGGATTTTTAACGTGCACAACTTGCACACGAAACCTCCGTATTTTTTTGGGCTCTTATCCGAGGATGCTATAGGTGTTCGAACTTACCTACCCTAAGAGCAGAGGTGTAGCTGGAAGACAGCAGTAAGAAATGGCTAGGAGTAGCAGTAGAAAGAGCGAGAAGCCCAGAGAACGGGGGGAAGGGGGAGGGAGGAGAGAAGGGGGCAGAAAGTCGAGATGAAAGCAAATGACAGAACCTGATTTCAGAGCAGGAAAGAAAGTGAAAGGAGGAAATTTTAGAGAAGAAATTGTTCCGTTGCTGCAAGGTTTCAAACCCGAGACATATTGAATGAGAGGCGAACACCGTACCTCCAGAGCAGGAGAGTACCTTACTGCTTGGTTTTACTGTAGGTATAAAATTAAAATCCTCTTTTTGCCCCCACCTCCTCACCTCCTTTGCCCCCTCTTTTAGGCTCCTGACTCTTTCTGCAGCCTTTCTACTGCTACTCATTGGCTCCCTCTTACTGCTGCCTTTCAGCCACACCTGTGATCTTCTGGTAGGAAAGATCTACACCTAGCCTTCTCGGACAAGGGTGCAGTGGCGGTGGGTGGACTTAGATTTGGGTGAGGCTTGCTTCTTTACCACCAAATAACAAGCAATAAGAACAAAACAGTGGTGATTTTTCTATACTCGCGGCGAGGCACGGCATTTTGAGAACAATTCAAACGAGAAGAGTCATCTTTGTCCTCCATCTCTTTGTTCTACGTTAAATTCTTCTGGGTGGCGGGGACGAAGCCGTTTCACCTCCAAATTTCTCTAATTAGTTTTTATCTGATGAAACTGTTGCCCCCAAAATGGTTTAATGTAATTAATAACTGTTAAATCTCAGCGGTACAAACACACAGCACTCCAAACTCCAAACACATACCGTCTATGAGGTGGATTGGGTCTTGTTGTTGCGGAAAATAGAACGCGCCTGACAAAGGCCCAATAGGCGCCAAGGTAACTGTGTCATTGGGGTAAAGTGTGTCGTAAACTTTCACCCCATTGTCAGGGCTGGGAGAGCGTGAGCCCTCTGTGCAGTGTTATTTTTTTTCAAGTCTTCTATCTTTTTACAAGAGAGGTTTCAATATGAAGGGACCGTGGGAACGGGCTGGTTGATTGCTGAGCCCCCAAAACATTTGATTGGCTGTTAGGTTACTATAGTTGTAAGCCCTGACAACAATGATTGGATGAACGAGCAGGTCGCTAAGTTGATCACTCTGTGTTCATTGCGGGAGATCAGAACAGTTTCAACTGCTTATTTCGTTAGTTTCAAATAGTTTCATTTGCCTGGGGATAGACTTGGGGGGAGGGTG